GTTAATTTTAAGTCCTTTGTTATCACAGCATATCAAATGGCTCCTTCCCCCCTTTTATCTGCTACTGTTAAATATTTGGCTTATATGAAGCAGCATTTCTCAGACTTTTTCAAGTGTAGAACACCTTTATAAATTAAAATATTCTTTGGATCACCTTACTCATTTCTCCTTTGAAAATATTTTTTTAGCATCTATTCCTACCAGTATATGTATATTTTAAAAATACAGTTAATAAATATTCATTCAATTTTATAAAGTTAATAGAAGAAAATGTGTATTCATTTTTAATAATTCAAGGCTATTTAGAGTTTAGAAAATCTTTATCTTATTGCTAAAAACTAAATAAATGTTGGTACTCACAATCAATGAGATGGGTGAGCCTGCTGATTTTTGGACAGCTGTCCTTTGTTTGATGTATACTGCTAAGCTTAAGTTTGAGACTGACACATACAGTAAATCAAATTTCAAAACTTTGTTTACATTTCTCGGCCCACCAGCGGCCGAGCGGTAAAGTCGCTGAACACTGGTAGTTCGGTCCGGGGTTTGAATCCCGCACACGGGCTGGCTGCATGGACGTTTTCATGGTTTTCTCCATGTGTAACGTGTATACGAGCCAGTTTCCCCCTTAGAAAGTCCTTCACGAAGGCATCTCTTTCCTTAGGCAGATAGTCCTAGTGTGCTTTGCCATAATTTAATAAACCAAACCGTTGTTTACATTTGAGATAGCAATGAAATTACTCTCTCATACAGATATGTAAAAGCAAACCGAATTATGTCCATGGTTAATTTCATGTGCCTCTGTAAAACAGAGGCACAGAAATTAACCATGGCTTCTGCTTGGAATTTCATTTTAAGTTCATTGTCACTTAAGAGTTCAATTAATTGTTCTCTTGCATTAAATGTCAGTTTCTTATTTTCAGTCCTGCAATAGAAAGAATCAGGAACCCATGAAAATTCATTATGTTTACCACTTGAAAAATATGTATGAAAATAACTGTGACCTCAGAGTTTTGAGATGAAAACATAACTTTGCCCAATTTTTTTCAGTAAAAATATCAGTATCTGCTAAAAAAGATAGTAAAGTTAGAATGGTGAAAAATTTCTCTTGTTTACATAACTAACCCATATACCAAGTTTTCTCTCAAACCCCTTTATTTTCTTATGGACACTGAAAACAGTCAAACAATTACCTTGTAGACAGAGATTCAGTTCATTTAATTTTGATAAAACATCTGAAACATATGCCAGTATATATAGCCATATATCACCAGCTAAAAAGGATGAAAAATCTTCCTTATAAATTGCAGGAGTCCTGTCTTAATTTAAAGAAACATATGAGTACCTTGCCTCCACTGAACATCAGAATGAAGGAGAAGCTGTTTGTGTGCTTGCTACCCATGACATCAAAAAGTGATGAAAATATTCGGCTCTTCATAGGCTTTGCCTTAATAAAGTTGATTATCTTAATGTTGTTTTCTGACACAATTTTGAATTTAGATAGCATGTCTTATGCTGGCAAAGCTTTCCTGTTTAATTAAAGAACAGGTCCAGGTAACGTCAGGTGCCACAGCTCTAGCATTAGCTGCAGTGCTACTATGTTTATAGGTGAGTGCACAAGCTCCATCCAAAAAAAAATACCTATGCATATTTTACAACCAGTTTCATGCTTCTGCATGTATTTATTTAGAATTTTTTCTCCAGATGTATGAGTTGGCAGAATCTTGGAAAATAATATACATTCATGTATGTTAGTGTTAAATTTATACCTGATGTAACAAATCAACTGTGCATCAATTTAAATGTCTGTTGTCTTGTCTATCTGAAGTGAACAAAACTGATTTTCTTTTATTCTATTCATTAAGTCCAAATTTTACACAATTCAACGTCAATTATATCACTTGATAATGGTAGTAAATCAATATCCTTAGATAATTTTTCAATAAACATTTGTTTAAACTGTATCATTTGTAACTGGAAGTACTAAGGTCTCACATGTACAGGGGGGGGGGCGTTTCCGCTGTTCATGATGTGAAGTTTTGCAACATTAGAGACTTTTAAAACCTTTTTAGCTGTAGAATCCATATCTGATTTTGTTAATGAGTTCTTCCCCACATATTTGAAAAAATTCAAACAGGTTTACTTTTTACACATGTGTCTTTCATCTCAATTTCACAAGTTTCATACTCATTTACATGCACTTTGTAATATACTGCATATTGAGATTTTGGTTCATTCTTATTGTCAAACCAAGTAAATCCAAATTTCAAATAACTCTTATCATATCAATGAAATAATTTTTTTCAATAGCTGCGAGTGCCACTGAATGTTTCTTTATTGGCATTAGTATTACTGATATTAATATCATAATCAGAGAGTCTGCACTGTTAGCACTGCCTAAATGAAGGTTATCATTTCCTTCCTTCTTTTCCAAAGTTCTGGTTTGAAGTTTGTTTTCAATTATATGCAATCGGCACTATTGCTGAGGTAATTGCTTATATCTCTTTCACAATAAAAATTTAAAACAACTACACAACCATTGGATTAACAGACAAGAAACAATTCAACAATGCATATACTTTCTTGTAAATTGTGATTGACTACAAAAATTAGAAATAGGAAACCATCTTGAGTTTCTGGATTTAATTCACCCATATTTTATAATAGGCAGACTCTAAAATTTTATCCATCTCCATCTGGGAAAACACAAATGAAAAAATTTAATGCAAAAACATGTCAAGTTTCTAATAAATAAAAGTGCAGTTTATTGGTGTATGCAACATTTCATTGTGTCTCCAAAAGAAAATTGTTCATCTTCGTAAACTTATTAAAACAAGATTTCATACTTTGGTGCATTGTGATGAACTCCATCTGGTGTACAGATGTGGAACCAGATGTGTGGTTAATATATGATGAGAAGCACAACAGTCATAATGCTTTACATCCGTCCTTTACTGCTGAGATTGGAGTAGGAAATCCATACATAGAATAAGTGGTAATAAATTTCCTAAAATATCAGCCTTGAGAGAAAAAGTAATGGAGAATGGCCATGTGAAATTTCTGAACTTTGGAATTTTCAGCTATAGTGTGGTATATGTAGCAAGTTTAAATTTTATTTTTTGTCTTTTTCTTAAATCTTCGAGGACTACTTTTGGTCCTCAGACAATAGATTGAGAAATGCTGATTTAATGTGCAATTAAAATGAATACATCATAACTCAATGCATAAGCATTAATTAACCTATTATTTCATTATTTGAGATGTTCTGTACTTCTGCTTTTCATTAACTTCTACTAGAATCAGAATTAGTTTAAAGTATTAAATATCAAGCTTCAAAATTCAGCAAAAATCATATATTGAGTTTTTAAACTTAAATTGTGCAATTCGCTCCCCCATTCCTATTAGTTTTTAGCATTTTTTTTTTCTTATTAAATTTTACTTGGTATGAATTGTCTTAATCTACTGTGAGCAGCTGTAGAACCTTTTATAAAGATTTAACCTATGTTAATCAGTTAACATTCTTATTTTGTTTTACATCAATAAATGGTACATTACTATGTTTATCCATACATAGTATGAGCATTAATTATAAATTTTACTTTTATTACATTTATAAATCCTTTCATAAATAAAAGCTTTTCTTTGCTACTCAGGAATTTTTCAGTATAAGAGTAATAAGAACACTGAAAAATTAAATTAACCGAGGAACATAAAATTTAGAATACCTAATTCAGTAGTAGTATATTTTACACCAAAATCATGTTTTAAATAGTTAAAGAGCCTAAACCATACATTATAAAATGAATTTAAATCCATCTGAGTTTTTTTGAGTGGAGTGTGAAAACATCCTGGAAACTTCAGTTTTTGTGAGAGGAACCTCTTGCTTTTTATAGTTCAAGATTGGCAACTATGAATTGGAATACTTTCAGTTTGTATGACCATCAAATCGATGTTTTAGAAAATATTTTGATTTTACTTTGGTTTTGATAATTCTAATTAAGAAGCCAGACTGGAAGAAAATTTGTTCAACGATCTTTTATTGCTATTGAGTTATTTGGGTTCTTTATTTTAATAGTTTAACAGTTTCTGTCTTACACCCCCCCACAAAAAAAAAACTTCACTTTAAATACTCTTAACCTAATTTTTCTTGGAAAGTGTGGAGAATCATTTTCTTTGAACTCATTTTCCAAAACGCAGAAAGTCCATGTAGCAGTATCCACATTGAAAAGGTAGGTGCTGTATTACAGATGCATTGGAAAGAATTTATTAGAAGTTTGCACTGATATGTGCAGATTGTTTCTTGTGGTGATGATAAAAGCGTTTCTCACAGTAAGAGATAGAACTGAGTTGGAGACTAAATTGTATGGAAAATATAAAATGGTAGAGGTGGATTTAATGTAATTTATATTCAATATCTTCAGTTTATTTTAAATTGGATTGAGAAGCTTGTTATTCTACCTGCAGATAGCAGAAGTTCAATTTGTGTGATCACCAAGTTGACAAGTTAATAAATGTTTTCACTCTTACTTTGGTTGCGATAATTCTAGTGAAGAAAAGTCAGGCAAGGAAAAAAATCATTTAACAGTCTTTTTTTTTTTTTTTTTTCGGGGGGGGGGGGGGGGGTTACTGAATATTAATTTGCATATTCTATTTTCATAGTGTAAGCATATAAATGTACTGCAGTCATTGAAATAAATACTAATTTAAAATAAAGTTCTAACTAAATTATATAACACTTTATCTAAATTATTCATATTCTAACAAAATTAATAATAATTAAACTTGTAAAATATTTGTAATTTGCTTCTGATTATTTTAATTATAGCTTTTTATATGAAACTTATTTTTAAAATCTGAGCTGTCTTTTTCTTATAAATTGAATATACATACTTATTTATTTATCAAGTATCTATTAATAATTTTATTAATTTATCTATTTTAATTTTATTTAAATTTTGAAGAAAACCTTTTCACAATTCTTTTTTTTTTTTTTTTAATTAAAGCTTATGAAGTCGGCAAGCATCGGCTGAAAAACTTGAATTTTCCCAACGTTCCTCCAGATATGAATGATATTGAAAAGACAATTTATTTTTCATCATTGATTGATTTTACAAATACTTGTATGGTATGAACATTTTCACTAGTTAGTTTTTCTTAGCTGTATTTAAATTGTGTTAATACATAATACTTTTATGTAGATTTGTTTCAAATAATTCTTAAATAAAAAGTAAATTTACAAGAAAAATCTTAAAATTTTTATTGATATTTATAATGTTAACTTGGTTTCATGTTATAAATTTTGATTTGATTGGTAATTTGAATTAATATTAAATAAATTCATTTTGAATTTTAAAAATGTCATATAGAAACTTCGAATAAATTGCTGCAAAGCTGATGGAATGTTTGAGCCAATTTATAAATATAAAACCAAACTGGAAATGATCTGATCACCTAGCCTAATGTAATCCTGAGGCCTGAGTTACACTGAGTTCTATTCTTTAAAAATAGCTTTTGCATTACAGTAATTAAATATTAGCAGTTTCACATATTTTATAATAAAATGATTTTACATCTCACACTCATAAATAATTTATGTATGTACAGCCAGCTAATTTATGTATCACAAAAAAATATTTTTGAATATATTAATCCTTCAAAGTTTGAAACGAACAGTCTTAATTTTGATGAATATAGAATGTATCAGATTTAACCTTTTTGTTTTAACCCTTTCAAGGGCATCACTATGTAATAATATAATGAAGTTTGTGAGTTTTTTTACCTCTTTAAAAATGCTAATTTTTCTTAGTTCTTCTTTTATTAATTTTTTTATTATTTACACATTCTGAACCTTATATATTTACTGCATTTCAATCAAGAGGGATAATTAAAAGATTATCATTTATATGATTTCAGTACCGGTATATAAAAAATACCAGCACTAATACTGAGAGTTCCTTGCCAATAGATGGTAGCATTCTGTCCGGTGACTGAATTTATTTACAATTGGTTATGATGTAATATGATACAGTTGTTTATGATTCATTTACAAGTTGTTTAGGATTAAATATTATATTCAAGAGGGGATGGGGAGTTTAATGACCCTGTGCTAGGAATGAATCAAAGTATTTTAATTTCTTTTTATACTTTGCTTATATCAGTCAAGCCTTGTGTTTTATCAGTCAAGTTTTTATTTGTCTTTGTTTAGCTAAAATTTTAATTTCACCACTTCACTCTTTCCCTTGAGAAAAACCCTTTGATTTCAAAATTATCATCTGGCATCAAAATGTTACACAATTGTAGAGGTTAAATGTGGGATGTTAGCCCCGAAAGGCACCCATTGCTTCACGTTTTACAAAACCCTAGAATGTATCAAAAATGAAAAGAGATGATTGATGACTAATTTGGGCATGCTCTCTGCAGTGGGCTGGTAACAACATCGCACAAAAGGCAAGCTCACTTACAAACTTGCTATTTAGGAATGCACTTTAGGTCCATCTCTTTTCACCGGGTAGTGCAATGGAAAATCTGCTGATGTGAAAGCATGTTTTTATGCTTTAGGGCAGGGGTTCTCAACCGGTGGTACGCAAGAGAAAAATAGGTGGTATGCAAAGAAGGAAAGTATTTTTAATTATTAAACTCAAAAATTAAAACCCCAACATCCGGATTGAGATTTTTCTCTAACACTCGTAAATTTATGCAATCTGAGCTTTGTTCAAGAGTAGTTGTGGTAGTAGTACTTCATAGTGGTGGTACTAAAGGTCTTCAATTTTTGTTTAGATGGTACCCCTTAGTCAAAAGGTTGAGAACCGCTGATTTAGGGGATTGCCTTTGTTAATTTCATATGAGAGACTAAGGAACACAAGAGAAATTTTTCCCCTGGGAAAGGATACAAGTAGATGGTTTGGAAAATAAGTTTTCACAGTTGGTGAGATTGGAAAATATTACTAAGACCAGTTTTAGACATAAAAGATTTATCCTTGGAATAAAAAAAGTATACTGGCTCCACAGGGCCCATGGGCCTGAAAATAAAAAGGAGGAAAAAAAAGCCTTCAGGGTATGTTAGTACTTTAGCTCTACTGAAGAGATATACTTTCTGAGCAAAATTATATATTGTTTCTTATTTATCGAAAAGTTAAAAAGGGGCCCAAGGGGTTAAAAACAAAACGGGCTTTGAGGTGTGTGAAATAATAAAATCATTTAATGGCTTTCTTCCTGAATAAAATGATATATTACAACCCATATATACAAAAAATTAAAAAGGGTTCCTTATGGGACCTAATAATCAAAAGTGTAGGGGGCGGGAGTTCTTTGTATCATAGCAAGAAGCATGTTCTTTTTGTGTATTATCTAAAGCATAAAATATAAGTTCAACAATGTAATGTTAATTTTTCAGCTGAGTCATAATGTTTCATTTTATCTCTCAGCTTGAGTTACATTTCATTGTAACATTATGCTAGTTCAGTTACAGCATGATCCAGTGTATTCATGCATGTTATATTTTTTAAACGTTTTGATAAAATAATGATATTGAATCCCCTTTGTATAAGCAATAACACTCACATTGATTTTGGGACCCAGAAATCGAAAAATACCCTAAGGTCAATTTTTTAATGTCCCAAATGCATTGTATCTTTATTGTAGACAGTCTTGTCCTAAAAGGAGTCTTTTGTGGTTCTTTATCTTTGGTTAAAGGTAATTTAGTATATACTCAGGAGGGAAGCTCATTTGTTAAGAACTAGACTCGATATCATTTGAAAACTTCACACCTCTTTGTTCGGTAATGAATGAAGGAGGGAGAAATTGTTGTGAATCTCAGATGGAATTTGAAACATTTCAATTTTTAAAAGAAACAAGTGAGCAAAATTCTTGGCATTCTAAGTGTTAAAACGCACAATGTGTATGTATCATCGACAATCTTTCATCTCTGGTTCATTGGTATTTCCTTTGGCACCACAGCTGTTTAAGACACACCCAGGTTTAGATACGAAATTTTTAACAAAAAAAGTGTGTCCTATATACCGAGAAATACAGTAATATCAAATAATTATTCACTAAGAGAAATACATTACTATATTCTTAATTTATATCTTTCAGTAACATGTATTCGGTGAGAGAGGGCAGAGCACAATGTTCAGTATGGAATTCAAATCTCTCTATAAAGTTAGTGTTTGTTTTTGCATAATTAGACTGATTGCTAAAAACTAATTCAAATTCTATCTTAAAAGACTAGTTTGTGATTTCTTCTTTTTTCCTCCTTTCAGCATGCCTTTCTGATGTAATGATAGCACATTTGGCGTAAATTCGAGAGGTCCAGGTTCGAGTCTCAGCAAGGGCACTGCTCATTTTTCACATCTCCTTCTTCAAAAAGAATCTAATGACTCAATATCATCTTAGAAAATGATTTCTTCTTTCCTTTCATTTAACTAGTTAATCATATTTCCATTTGGGCAACTTACTGGAATGGCCATCTAAAAGCTTGGTGATTAAGCACTTAGCTTAACCACTTAATTTTGTGAGACCTGAAGCCCAGTACATCTACCCGATTTTGATCCCTGGTACAATAAGTTAATTTCTTTAATTTTTCATATATCCAGTAGAATCCCTTTTAATTGGCAACAAGGGGATCATGGCTATTCCAGATAACAGTTTTTCTGGGTAATTGAATATGTATTGCTAGAATTTACTTGTGTACGTTTTGCAGTGGCATCTGTAGAAATTGCAACATGCAAAGTGTCTGTAGTCTTTTTTATCTGTGGTCCAAAATTAGGCAAATAACTTGTAAATCATACAGATTATTTAAAATTAAAATACATAACATGGTTTTATATTTTAGGAAAACAAAATTAAACTACATTTTAAAATTACAATCGGTAAATGATTAAAGTAAGGAAAAAAAGCAATTTTTCTTACCTTGGCTTCTCGCCATCATAGTTCTTTGAGAAATCCAGCACGAAATGGTAAATAAAATACATTTATGCAATAAAATAATACATATTTAATGTAGAATAAAGATAAATACGTATGTTACAGTCTATATATGTTGTTCAATAGAAAGTTATTATGACAGAGTTAATTTTGTACTGTCCCTTCACATCAGTGTAAAGAAGTGAAGTGCGAGTCGCACAGTTCCTTTATTAGAGCACACTTAAAATAAAACGTTTATTACTCTATTGGGTGCTGATAATATAGTACATCACTGTATACCAGCATCCCTAATTGATGCGCAAGATCACTATCTACAGCAATTCTCGAAGTTTCATGAATACGGGTTTTTCTAGCAGTTTGGTGAGCAGGTCTGCAATTATGTCAGAACTTCTGCAGTAGTCTAGGCTTAGGATACTGTTTTGTTGAAGTTTAAGCAAGTACTGGCATTTGACATCTGTATGTATTGTTCTAGAACTCTTTTCTATCATTTTGAAAGTCAGATGCATGACTTTTTATCTTCATAGAGAGTAATGGGTATAATTTTTTAGCCCTAAATCTTCAAGTAAATTTTAATAGCCATTGTGCTTCTTAAGCTGTATTAGCTGCTGCAATGTACTCTGCTTCAGTTGAAGATAATGCAATGCAGTTTTGCCTTTTGCTGCTCCATGAAATGCAGTAGTTTCCTAGTTTGAATATGTATCCGCTAATATATTTTCTCAACATTCAAGATTCTCTGTGAGGAATATAAGAGATATAGAAAACGGGAGAAGAAGATCCATTTACTTAAGAAAAGACTTTTTCACGGCAACCTATTTAAGAATGTTTAACATCTGAGGGGGGTCCAATGAAAGCCGTGCTTTCTGTCGTGAAATTAATCTTGGCTGCTAAGATTTTAAGCGAGGAGCTACTGCCTGTAGAGACAAAAGCAACATCATCCTAAATGATGGAAAAGAAGTACTCCACAGGTGGAATGAGCACTTAAGTAACTTGTTGAATGACCTTACACGGGATGGGTCTTCAACCTACCCAACTATCTCTGTAAACACCAATAGTATCCTACCACCATCTTTGGCAGAAGTTAAAGAAAGAATTAAAAAGCTCAAAAATAACAAGGCCCCAGGCCCTGACTTGATTACTTCAGAATTTATTAAAAGTGCTGAATGTCAAAACATTGATCAAATACACCACCTCATCGAATCA